CTCCTCACCGGACTCAGGGCGGCTAACAGCCTTATAAAACAACATTACAACAAATATCAATATTAAAACCAAATTAAAAGAAAATATTTGTAAAGGCCTAATCGTTAAAATTACCCTTAAAAACCCCACTAAAATTCCCTAGGCCAATCCCGCTTGTTGGAAAAGCCATGTCTTTAGGGCGCGGCGGAAGGAGGGGAGAACTACATGGGAAAACCTTCTGAAGGGCTATTTATTCTATCTGCACAGGTGATGAAAAATTCTTTTTCTGTTTTCAGATTTTGTGTCGGGTGTCCCAAGAGCAGCAAAAACTTTGGGCATGGTAAGGAAAACAAGCTAGTGTTAAATAATTAACTTATTCTTTTTTTAGCAACCATTCAAATATGTGATGGTATAGAATTTTATTTATATATATTGTGCAGGTATCCATTTACAATGGGGAAAGCATGGCATCCATGTATAACTTCACTGGAGAACAGGTATGACTTGGTTTCTATAAGAGGAAAATATTTTTATATTTATGTCTTATCTTTTTTTACCAGGGTAGGAATGTTGGTCGTATAATATACAAAATAAGTGAGGAAAAACTAGGAAAGAAAAGTATTTAAGAAACAAAATGTGGTCATAAGTCAGCTGTAATAATCAAATTCGAACATCGAGGCTACTGTGTATCATAATTTTGAGAAAAGGTGTTCTTTCTGGCGATCTTGGCTAAGCTGATGGAAGATGCCTTCCCAGTTTAATGTTCCCTCTGATTCTAGCAAGTGGAATAACCGACGGAAGAAAAAGAGCCAATTATTAAGAAGAGCCTAAACAGGCCAATGGCAAACCCTTTTTTTTTCATTTCTTACAGATTTAAAGCATATGGCATCTGATGTAATCACCTGTTCACTGCTAGATTTAAAATATCCACATCCGATATCCCTTGGAGATAGCTGATTAGATTGTTCTTCCCACAAGAGAACCCAGTGTCTTCTAAAACAGTCTGTTCCATGGTTGGCAATTTCTTACATCTGAATTTTATCTTAAAGCTTAGTCAAAATCTGCAGCTTTCCAATTTCAAGCCTGTTCTGATCCTCCTCATATATCTATGAGGAGGATATGTCTTTTGCTCTTTGAAGACAGCCATCCTGTCTCCACAATCTATTCTTCCCCAGACTCTTAAGGGTTTTTAACTGTGGAGCCTTATGCTCTGGGGAGTTGAGAACAAATGCTGCAGGAGGGAGAGAACAGGATATAAATTCAAAGATGGATCTTTGTCAGATGCTCTATCTAGTCAAAGTGATAATAAAGTCAAGATTTAATATAGGTTGCTGCTATAAAGAGAATGGCCCATCTAAATTAAACGTGGAACAAGAAATAAGAGTGGTGGTCTCAGAAATAAAACTCAGACTTTGGGAATTACATCACAAGTTCATTCTCCTCATCAGAAGTATGGCTTTAAATTTTATTTAACTTTTATTTGTAATTTCCAATGACAATGTTTTATTTTTTAAAAAGCTGCAAAAGTTGTTTTCATTAAAAATTAATTATTGAAACAATACCATATGTCTTATCTACCTCTAACCTCCGTTAAATTGTTATCCAAGGGAAGGATGGAATCACATCCATTCATTTATCATTTTAGGAGATCCCACAAAGTTGAAAAACTCTGCTTGAAGGCATCCATGTTGAACTTCAGTCCCAATGGAGCAGCCTTACTATTTATAAATATTTCTTATACCTCTTAAAATTGAAGTTCTATGAGTAGTTATGTGGGTGGAGAATATACAGTGATGTACTTCCCTTCACATTACTATTAGTAAAATAAAAAGGATAAAATGTGATCCGTGTGCTTTCTATAACAAAGGGAAAAATTCTAACAAATACACAGAAATAACTAGGGAAAAAAGGATATACTTCTAGACTTTGAAATATGCATGGCAAGAAAGCTTTTAGCAGATGTAAAATACCTCTCTAACTCCTAGTTATTTCTGTTTAATGCAGCATTTCTTTTGTTCAACTTTGTTACCCAGATAGCTGCTTATTTTGGATATTCTGTAGCTGCCACAGATATCAATGGAGATCAGTAAGTTATGCTTTTGTTTCATACTTCTTGAAAAAGAAAAAAAATATCTGGTTCTCTAAAATCTTGCCTAAGATAAAAATAAAATGTTTGAAAGAAAAATGGAAATCTGTTAGCATGCATATTTAACTCTCTTCCCCTCCCACTTTTGGGAGTTTCTTCTGTTAAGATTGCTTGATATAGCTCTCCAAACATTTCACAAACACCATATATAATCACAGATAAGCTTGTCCACAGATAAGCCAATCCTCAAAATTTCGGCCAAAATACCATGAAAAATGCATCATCTGTGAATAAGCAGACACTTGAATTTTTAACTGCAACAATAAATGGAAAAACTGCAATGTCTTACATTGTTATTTGTACAAATCACATGATTTTAANAATTGCTATCAGTTGTACGTTTATCCAGAATCTTCAGCTTAGGAATTAGATATAAGTGCATTTGCTGAATTTTGAACTACTCAGCAAGGAACCTAAATAATGATACAGGTCACTCTGTTAAATCTATACTAATTAAACTACCTAAGAACTTCTGTTAAGGACTTATAGATCATAACGTAATTGTCACATAGGATCATGCTATCTTTATCCTCTTTTGTCTGGCCAAAGATATGCTTGATTAAATTCTTTACTGAAGTGAACCAAAATATTGTTATTTTATTTCCAGACTTAGTTTGGCTTTCCTCTGTAGTCCTATTCACGATTACCTAGTAACAAGCCTGAATCGGATTAGTTTCTAAGCTGATATTATAGAATTGCATTTTATAATAAGACAACAAATATCTGCTCAGAACTGTATTATTTCAAGGTATTCCCTTTTGCTTTTCTCCAGGTCAGCTAATCTCTGATCAAGTGGCTGAGATTGTGTCAAAATACAGCACTACAGTCTACACAACCAAATACGATCACCAGTTAGCAACACGTTCAGCTAGTGCTACTTTTGATGACAGTTATTTGGGTGGGTACTTGACTCTGAAACAGGAAATATTTTAAATTTCGCTGGGATGAAGCTTCCCAATGAGATCAGTGAAAGTATATTTGCTTTTTATGTTTCTGAAAGAAGAACCATCCTAAATATAGCCAAATTAAAAAAAAATGTGACTGGCACATATTTACTGGAGAGTTTTCACTTGCCTTCTTCAAGTAATTATTTAAAGAATGCAGTCTGTACTTAAGCTGTATTGGATAGAGAATTCTAATTCTGCAACTGTGTATTCAGTTTTTTTCCAATTTTGAAAGAGAAATAGCACCCCCTATTAGTCAACGGGGAGAATGATTTCAGAAACTCCATGAACAGGTTTATTTAAAAATAGATGTCTAAAAATGTTTTTGGGTGCATCTCATATTAAGAGTATCTCCATGCATTATTGAAATATTGAAATATTAATTCTTGAATTCTCATTTTCATGCTTGACAGGTTATTCAGTTGCCGTAGGGGATTTCAATGGTGATGGCATAGAAGGTATGTCTTGTTCATATTTGCATAAAATGTCCAGAAACGAATGAATTTTGAATACAGGGAAAAGATTTGAGGAAGTTCTAGGAAATAAATCATCCAAATGACCTGTTGAAATCTGTATTAACTTTTGCATGTCTGAGTCTATTTATTTCAGCTATTGTATCTTTCCTTGAGGCTATGAAAGAATAAAGATTGGAAAAAATTCTTTCTGCTTTCATTGCAGATGTAGTAAGAAGTTTATGAGCCACATTAGAGATTGTGAAAATAGAAGACTGTTGTTGACTTTTTAGTGTCATTTCAATATATTCTGTCTCTCAGAAGTGATGACAAAATGTAACCTCACAAAGTAATACCTGTTTTTCTGTGTTTTCATTACAACAACACCTGCAAATACATGAGGGACAGAATTTGTGTAGTAGTGAAAACACATGTTTTATCATTTCCCTCTCTCTTTTATCCATGGATGCCTATAATCTTGATGCACATACTTTTTAAGAGCTGTGGTGGTACAGTGGTTAGAATGCAGTATTGCAGACTAACGGCTGACTGCCAGCAGTTCGATCCTGTTCAGCTCAAGATTGACTCAGCCTTCCATCCTTCTGAGGTTGGTAAAATGAGGACCCAGATTGTCGGGGGCCACAGGCTGACTCTGTAAGCTGCTTAGAGAGGGCTGTAAAGCACTGTGAAGCGGTGTATAAGTCTAAGTGCT